GCTACTCTATTGCGGATCTGGTTCTCAAACTCGCAGAGGGCTGAGGGTTTAGGGTTTCGCCAAGGTCCTGTCGTGCCAGCTGCATGAAGAGTTCGGGGAATGGGATTTCGCTTTAACTGAAGTCCAGTCGTCGTTCATTCACCTCGCTTTGGGCTCTGGGTGTTGGTGGAAGGAATGTAGCGGAGGGAAGTTGCAAAGACCAAATTGCAGGTCGCGCGCAGTCGCACTAGAATGCCAGGAAGAATGTCGCATGCTCTCACAAACGCTCTAAACGCAGCGCATCTATCCAAGCTCTTTAAACTCTCAGCCCTCAGCTGCATCTTGATGCCAGGTTTGCTCCAAAGGGCACCGTCAGCCCGGACGGCCTGCGCCAGCTACTGAAGCTCCCTCCTCGGCAAGCGCAACACGGAGCATCGAAGAGCTCAATACCATCAATACCCCTTATCTAAGCAATCTACTTATATACCTTCTGAAACATGCCATATTGAGGCCTTATTTTGTTCAGGTATATTTGCGGATTGCGAGGTATTTGGGCTCTCTGGGAAGCCATGTCAGCCCATGCTTCGGTTTCTTCCGGAGCTTCCGTCCCTTCCATGGCATGACATTGATCAATGGCTCTGGGGGCATCCCGGGAGCTTTCAAATGCTAGTTCTTCTGGTGTCTTCAACGCTCCGTTCTCTAAATTAGGGTCCCTTTCACGGTCCGTTTTATGCGGCTGCCGTACCATTTTGGGGACTCAAAAAGGGAACACTTCAAGTCCTAGATGCTGATGTCATTCATGGCTGCCAGACTTAGGGCGTTGGACTTTCCGGACGTTCACAGCGACGCCTTCGACCGATACGCATCAGCCCTACTTTCCCGATCGGCTGTGTCGTCGAGAGTGCTCGCCTTGTGTGACAATCTGAGCTGTCATTGCAGAGCCGGTCGATATGCTCAAGATTTGGAAGGTAGAATGTCACTTCGAATAAAAGGTAGCCAAAAACTTAAGCAAATGAGCGGCGACGTAACGATGAAGCTGCAAGGTACAACAAATTTTTCAGGTAAAATCAAGCTAGAACCAGGTGAAACAAAAAGGCAGCGACAAAGTAAAGAGAAATGTGGCAAATGGGGAAGACCAGGCACAGGCCAAGCGACACGGGATTCCTTGCACGCCCATGCCAACCCGCCAGAAAAACGTGAGCAAACATGCAAACAGAAGGATATCACAAAAGAGGCAACACTAAGGTAGAGGCCAGGCCCGGCGCAGGTCACGCAAGATTTCCCACGCACCCGGCTTTGCTTGGCCTTTGTTTTTGTTGTTCACCTTGTTTTGCGTTTTGTCTTTTTTATGTCTTTTTATTGTATGTGTTTTCACCTTTTGTCAGGAAAAATCATTGGAGGAAATCATTGGAGGCGCCGATAGGGCGCCCGCCACCCCTGCTGCGGGTGGGCGGGCATTGGATTGCAGGAAAATCCGAGTCACGTGGCCTGTGCCAGGCTCTTTCCTGTTCTTGATTTTGCCTTTTCGGATTTCAGCTTCAGGGTAGGGATTTACCTGTTTTTTCATTCTACCTGTTTTCAGAAGGGCTGCTTGCGCACCCTCCATCGGAACGGTCCTACTAACTCAAGATACCGCGCGAATCATGTGTGGCTTAGCGTCCTTGCGCATGCTTTGCCAGGGCGGGAACGATAGTTCGTTTTCGATGACAAGTACCGTGCAACCTAGCCACTCAATGATTCGAGTGCCTGCGCTCGGTAACTAGCGAGATAGACTTTAGGCAAGGGCTTTTGAGAGCCATACGCTTGTGGCAACAGGACGTCGTGTCTCGAACCCAGGAGCACGGCAGTACCCTATATGTGATTCGCTGCAAGTTACAAGTTCATGCGTGTTATATATATATATATATATTTTTATGTATACACACATACACATGCCTTATGAGCATTCATGGTAGCAGAGTCACGAGCCTCGAAGCACCTAGACAGAAGGTCAGCGAGTGGCTCTTGATTGCTGGCAAGTCCCAGGAAGAGGAGGACCGTAAGTTGACTGTGGCACTTTTTCTGTGTCTTTGATTGTTCGTTCCTGTGCGCACTTGAGTTTGCATAATCTTCCCATCTCAACATGGCAAGCATCTGGTCATGGCCAAGAGTGAGACCCAAGTCCGTCTCCATTGGACAAGCATGAGCATGTACTGGGAAGGATCGGGTCATACCTACTCCTGGGCGGGTTCATGATAATCTGATATTGTCTGTGAGATCTTGCATGAAGTCGTTGCCACTGCCATCCAATGCTTACATTTTTGGCCCGAACACATTCGTGAGCGGAGAATCTGCGTGCAACACTCGACTGATCTATGCGCCCCGTCTGCATCATGCTCCTCCTTCCGAATCATATACCTCCTGGCACACCCATAGATACTGACATGCACACATGCTACACGATAGTAGATTAGAATAGATTAGATTTAATTCATGTAGATAATTTGTTAGAGTAGATTAGTCGACATTGCTTTTACATATGCGGTCTTTAAACACAATTTCTGGGGCAGCTTTTCAAATCTCGACAGTCTCAGCAGCAGGTCGCCCGGCGAAAGTATCCGTGGAAGAGTGGCTCTCTCTCGCTTGCCTGGCCAGTCTTCCATCAGCGTGCACGACTTCATCTCATGCGTGAACTTGCCAGACACTCAGCCGACAACCACCAGGTCGGTAAAAGCTTGGAGCTTCAAAAATCGCGCGCGCTGATTTCGACCCCTACGTGGTAGCATCCTGCGCTGAACCCTACGCTTTAGTTCAGCTTGCTAGTTTCTAGATGCCATTCGGGCAGAAATCTTGCATCCTGATGCAGTAACTGTTAAATATATATATATATATATATATATATATATATTATGAGAACTGCGATAACATCAGCTAGCAGTACCATAAAATAGCAATAACCAGGTCAAGAAGAAGAACTGCGCCCTTGTCAGGCTTGTGGATCTTTGCCAAGTACACCAGCTTGAGCAAGAGCAGAAGGATGGATTGTAAGGCAAGGCGCCCGGGCCGGGAAGTGTAAAAGAGTCGTCAACTTGTCGGTTAATTTAGAAGCCTGAAACATGAATTATACTCTGCCTCAGGTTTCCTGAAAGATGATAGTAGCAGTGGCAGTAAGATTTATAGCACGAAGGAGAACTACAACACATCCCCTGTGATAAAAAACCACCTTGATCATGAAGGCCCCTATGGTATCGTGACAGGCACTTCCTCTCCTACACAGCTCAGTGCGCACATGTGGACAAGAATTGCTCAATTGCTTGTCGTGCAGGCGCGTGGCCCTTGAAAACCAGGGGCAGGGAGAGAGGCATCTTGGAAGATCGGCCGTTTCTCTCCTGTGATGTGGAATGTGGCGAATCCAGATGTTGAGGGTGGCCATTGGGCCGGGTTCCAAGCAGAAGGTGGCATGCCGACTGCCTCATCCTTTTATTCTTTGACTAGCTGCTGAAGCCGCAAAGCCACAAGTTTCATGAGTACCTGCTGAGCCTGTATTCGCCTTCACTCCGACCGCTTTCGTGTCTAATGTTCCTACATGAGCTTCATGGTTCGGGATGAAGGTTTGGGTTCGGGTGCTTGATGCAAGTCATGGCCTCATTGCCCCACTTCCGCACCTGGTGGTGTTTCACCGGCTGTACGCGCATGGCTGAGGCCTGCAAGAAACCCTGCGAGGTTTTGCGATTCCAGATTGGGTGTAGGCGGATTTGCTAATATCAAACTTCTGCAAGACTTATGCAGGAACTATGACTGGAGAGCTTTTCAGCTCCTCCGAGCTGTTCTTGCAGGCGGCAAGGCAAAAGCCTTGAGGGCTTGCGCAATCAGCCCCAATGCCTTCCTAACATTTCCGGATGTGTCCACGGTACGTACGTTTGTGAAAACCCGTATCCAGTATGCGCATCTATATAACCCATACACTTTGAGGTTCCACCGGGTCTGGTCATGACAAGCACGAGAAACGAAGCTTAGTCCCAGCTCTTCACTCGATGGCGAAAATAAGCGCCTGAGTCAGGAGGTCGGGATGCGAAAGTTCCTGCTGCAAAGCAGATAGCGAGAGGCATCCTCAGCTCCGCTGTTTGGGATGACTACCCGCCTGTCTTAAAGCCTGACCACGAGGGGCCAAACAGATCTTGGCCCAGATCGAGAAATCTCCAGCCGGACTTGTAGCAGTTACTCTGCCTTTCGGCTACAGCTAAGGATGTTGATAAGGGCTATGGCGAGGGATTTTAGTCAGTGCTTAGCGTCCAATATGTCAGCCGGTACCCCTCGCACTCAGCTTTGCACCCTCTGTTAGCACATAGTCAAAGATCGATGGCGAAAGATCAGACGGCTCGGCACATGCAACCAGGAAAAAATCCTGTCACACATTTACCGACCATGTTTTTATGTGAGCCGAAAGATCCTCTTACTATGAGTCTTCATCTGGGACTTGACAAACACCCATTTCCCGAAGAGCGTGTCATGCCGGAAGCCTTTCTGTGGGAGTTGGCGGGCTGCAAAGATGCGCCCCAAAGTCGAAAGCGCTCTGCCCGGCATTTGATGACATCCTGGTCAAAAGAACTCCGCTGATTTGAGTTTCCGTTGCTAAATAGGATTAAGGTGCCGCTGTCAAGGTGGCGCCAGTCCTGTGCATCGCCGTAAGGTGTGCCATGGACACCGTTGCAGATTGAACCAGGTTTGTAAGGCCTTAGTGGCTGCCATTCCAATGTAAAGCTTGGCTCATTCAGCTCCCTGTGCCTCATTGCCCACACATGTCCTTATTGATTTGCCAGGCGTCAGTCATTCGCGTACTGGAAAGTATCAGATCTCAGCACATGCATCGAAAGAGAACATAACAAAGGTCACGGACAGCAATGCGCATCCAGTCGGTCATCGGTTTTTACATATTATCTCATTATACCCTTTTAACCCAACATTCTCCAACAAGGCCCCGGGACTCTGCTCAAGAAAATTCGCGATCGTACTTCGTCGTGCTGTTTAGCTCATGAGATTTGATGGAGCCATTGAGCGCTTTGCGATGCCGCTTGGCATTCACAAAGAGTCGTGGTGATGCCGGGGGTGTAGCAACGAGACATGTAGACTGAACTCGGAATTGACTTGAGGATTCAGGCAAACTTTCCGGCCTGCATTCAAGAAGGAAACGGGCAGGGGCAGGGGGCTGCGGGTTCCAACGCCCGGCTTGATCGTTTTACATGAGGCCGACGCTGCAAGACTTCTCCGTTCCCCTGCAGTATATGCGATTGATTTTTGCTCTACTCGCTGAACTTGCGATGCGCCCTTCCTGCTCTGAATCGCGAGGCTTCGTCTGCCAATGCGTCGGAGAGGACACCGCTTCACAGCACGATTGCAGTCTTAGGCTTGGCTTACGGGTGTTCCCAATGTCGGCTAGTCTGGTACACCTTGGGCCGTCTGCTGGACTAGGGCGTGCGGTGCACAGTGGCAGCTATCCACATTCAACTGACATCAGTGAGTGGCCGTCCCTGCCTAAGCCTAAAAATGGGACTTAAATTCATTTGGCTTGCTACTGAGTATAGTGGACTGACTTGCGAAGCTCACGCGTCCGAATTATCAGTAGCTGCTACGGATGTGTGAGCTTCGCCCAAGTCCACTATGACAGGGCCGCCGCAAATTTGTTCTACGTGGAGTGTGCCGTGCCAGAAATACAATGGTTCCCTTTAAACATGAACAACGTGACAAGCCGAGAATGCCAGAGAGAGGCAAGCCCGCGGCGTGTGAACCTGTACCAGTACCGCTTTGCTTCAGCATTTCCGTTGCTGTCCCAGAACGTTTGGGGCATCACATCGTACTTCGGGCATCCTGTTGAGGCTTGTCGTTGGCTTATCTGACCTTTTGCGTGTGTGTGCAGCAACATAGAACGAGTATATGCTGGCCAAGGCCCAAGCACGATGTTTCGGCAAGCCTTGCACAGTGCAGATGAGGGGTTTAATGGAAGAAATCCAAGACCACTCTTACTTCTCTTGCTGTGATGTCGAGGACACATGGAAGTTCAGTTCCAAGGGACTTGATGAGAAGGTGCGACCGGGAAGATTTCGTGACCGCCGGGTTTCTGATGTTGTCTTGTACGTGAGTATATGGTCTTGTACGTGAGTCTCTTGCCTGGATGCTGGACGCCTGTCTGGCACTTCTCTTGGTGCGTGTTTCGCTTGACCGGCTGCTCAGTTTTGCTATTGTCCCCCTGAGAAGGACAGCTTGAAGATCATCGAACCCTTCGAGGACCCCGCAACTAGCTTGAGAGATTGGCCAGGCTAGCCCTCTTGCGGCTGCATTGATGGACGCTTCTGGGTTTCAAGGACTAGGGTCGTTTATTCACGATGTATTGGTCAGAGCACGACCTTCTTCTCAATCCTTCCCCGCTACAAGTTCAGAACCACAAGCTTCTAGGAGTCACGATCGGCTTGGGGCCTACATCGACGGGACCTGGCGTAGTCATGCGTAGTCTTTCAGTAGTGCTTAGCCGCTCTAGCCAGGACTTCCCACCAAAACCGCACGGTCAAATGACAAGGCATTTCCACCAGCCGAAGCCGTAAGAAAGGACAGTTCGATCCGGGTTGGCGCCGACGGATGGTATTTGGCCGGCTTCAAAGGCCGTTTTCCCGAGGTACCCTCGGCATTGGGAAAGGTACCATTCCTAGAGGTCTCAAAGTCCTTGATGCGGTGTTCAGCTTAGGCGGAAAGGGAGAATAGATGCTGGGAATGAAGTAGGCATCCGGTTAAAGGTATCTGCAACTCATTCACCGAAGGGGCAGACATCGGTATGTAATCTGGGCTTTGGAGTACCATGATTTAATACTTTTTGGGGGTACCTGTTCCTTAAAGGAGCCATTGTGAAGTAGAAGTCTATACTTTGTTCTCGCTGGTTACTTCAAAGCCCAGTAATGGTTCAGGCTGCAGGGTGTAGGCATATATATATATATATACACACATATATAACATATATATATATATATATGTATGTATATCTGTTTGTATATGGTTTCTTCTCGTCCAGCTGTCGCCCTCCACCTTGCAGCGCACCCAGCATCCGATCGTGGTCCCGCCGCCAGCTCAAGTGAATGAAATGTGCAGGACGAGCCACCTAAGGACACCAGAAACCCCCTAGACCGCCTAAGAGGATCCTTTCCTGCTGCGTGCCCGAGTGAGAGTCGAAACCGCCTATATAAACTGAATCTTGTGTCATGCCGACCTGCACCCATTGACCTCGCTTGGCTTGTCCGAGTTGTGAGTGAGAGCGTAAACCGCCTAAACCTTAAACCCAAGCCCCATTGCTGTCTTTCAGAAACCCCCATCAAAAGACGTCTCATGCACCCCTGAACTCAGGTTCCATGCGGGTGGGAAAAACACCCTCCTGCACTCTCCTGTGCTGCTCCTCGGCCAGAGAGGAGATATATTATCTCACATTGTATTATATTATCTCATCTTAAATAGTGTTATGTAATATGTGCTGTTCAGCTTGCAGGCCGGCACTACTGCACAGTGCAATCCGAATGTTGTGCACATGAAGACCGACCTTTTCGACATCGTCGATAACTCCTAGAGGTTTAGGGTACATGGACCCCTAGACGGAGGATCCAGCAATAGCTTCGTCACTCGGGAGATCCTTGCTTTTGGGCTTATCTGGTCAATGGTCTGTTGCACCCTGATTATAGCACAAAATGAACATAAGGGGACTAGAAAGGAATATTGTTTGTAGCTTTTCCGACCCCTGTATTACGTTGACCAAAGCCAGACCCGAAAAAGGCCTAGTGGGTTAAGCCATAGCAAGCTTCAAAGGTTTCTGATGGCCCGGGAAGGCATGTCAACATACATCTGCTGGTACGTCGTGATCACCCACATTTGGCACACAGAAGGTTCCCCTACAGATTTCTACGCCAAAGTTGCACTCAAGTACTGGCACTTGTCCGTCCGTATCTGCTGTAGACTGTAGACATGAGCCTGTACTTATTTCGCGAACCCCTGCCTTCTGTCTATTAGACTTTCGACCGCGCAGCCGAGCCTTATATCAGGTCGAACATATTGCGACGACAAACACCTCGCTGGCAAGGCACGGGAGGTTTCTGCTCTCGATCCTTCGACTGGCGATGTGCCTCGGTTCAGGGTAATTGCATCCCCACCTGCAGGTACTTGTACAATGATGTGAAAGTGGGGAGCCCGGATGATCAGTCGCAGAAAGCATGGTAGTCGCTGTAGATTGTTTTGCTATAGTCTTTTCGGGATGTAGTGCTCGCCGGTGCGATGCAACTACAGGAGCAGTATAGGTTTCGGTGCTTTGTCGGAACTTTGGTTGGACCCCTCGTCTTGTCCCGAAGTTCATGGGCGGACGGATGGACATGACGACAAAACACAGTTTAGGCAGCACTCTGCTGCAGAATGCTGTCAGGCCATAGACTGCGCACTTCACGGGGTGGCATTGTCGACAGGAACCACCCGACCCAAACGACAAGTACAACAACAGGCCGTTGCAACACGCCACAAGATGCCCAATATAGTTAAGCGATCAGGCATATTGTATAAGCCATTCCATGAACAAAGCAAGCGAACATAGCAATGAGATGGGACGCACCAGAACTGGATTGATCTCCAGGTCTGCATACAGTGCCTGCGCCCCTGCGCATACACACAGAAGTCATGTCAGGGCTGCTTCTTGGCCGCACATTTCATTCGTTGTGGATGCAGTGCAGTGGCCCAGCTTGCCAAGAATTGTAGCACCCCAAAGGCTACTCTGACTTGCTGGAATGAGCCATATGCATGACCCAGAAGCAATGTGAGGGATGCCTCTCTTAGAATAGACAAACTTGGAGACTTGACAAACATAAGGTGTTGGGTTTAGGGGGAGTTCGAAGTTTGGAAGCTTGTAGCCTCCAGAGGGATTCTGCCATCCACGCCGAGCACATACTTCTCTATCAAACGGCAATTTTTGGGCTTGTCTTGATCTGTCTATCCGGTTGCCCAAGTCAGGTCTTTCGGATGCGGCGCGGATGCATATTACCATGCTTTACGATAACAGGCATTACGGAAGCCCGAATCCAGGATCCCCAAACCCCTTAAGCCCCATCGCCTGGCTGTGCCGAGTTGTGAGTGGCAACACACGGCTGGTCGGCTAATCCAACCAGGAGCGTTATCCATTGTCTTTGATTTCCCGGGCAAAGAAGTTTTTGCTGCAGGGTTCGGAGGCTCGAGTTTGATGCTCCCATCGAGGTGGGGCACAGCTCGAATCGGTTCCAGTGACGCAGACGGAGCCACTGGTCAAAAATGTTTTGCCTCCGGACGGGGTTTTGTCAGCTTCTTGGTGTGTAAAGCACAAGGGTACATGCATGCGAGTGAGCACGGCGCCTGTGAAGAGCTCTAGATCCTAAACCCTAAACCCCCAACCCCTAGCTCGCGCGAAGCTTTGTGCCAAGTCCCAATCATGCTTGCCTCAATTGGCAAGCGGGCCTCACAGCAAATTGGCAGCTCTCCCTGGTTTATTGCCGTTGGTTGCACTCTTTGTTATTGAGGCAACTAATCGGGCACAGGCAAGGACATAAATCCAGTTGAGTTTTTGGTCGAAGCCTTAGACCCACAGTAAGCTAGTGTTTCTTTGGGCAAGCCGCTCAGGAACGTCCTCATGGGCTTTGTCTTCGGCATTGAGCGCACTACGAAGTGGACGCCTTATGCAAGCAGACTCTATGCTCCAAGCATGAGCACCTGGAAAGTCACACCGCGGACAGGACAGATTGTCTCTGTCTCTGTAGTGCGAGGGCTCATGCACGTATGACCAGCTGCCGCGCCGCCGGGGATGTGGGTACGAGAGTGGTTGGCGGTTGGTGCCCGGAAGAAAGCATCGCGCAAGAGAAATCAGAAACTGTACAGGAGGCATCGGAATCATCGGACCTTCTGCACTCAAGTCCCGAAGTCAATAGTCGGCCTCCTGGTCCTTCTGATCGGCAGAGGTTCCCGTTGACGATCTCACTCCGCCGACAGACGCCGGATGTCATTGTCTACGATGACTTGCTGCTTTCCAGAATTTGGACGCATTGCTCAGGCTTGCCGAGGAAGTGCTGTCCTTTTGTGGCTGAGTGACAGGGTGCCTTCGGCATGCGTATCCTGTAGATTATCCGGGGAAACAAAGGTGTACCAGTACATATCCACTTTAGTCGAACTTCATTAGAGCATCCTTGGATCGGGCTCTCGTGCCAAACCTTGCGCCGAAAACTCCCTAAACGGTGTTTCAAAATAGCCCACCGACGAAAACGTGACTGCTTCAGCCATGTTGCAACACCCTATGCTGCAGTCCTGCCCAAAGGCTTTCCATGTCCTCTTGCCATCTGAATGCCTTGCCGACAAGCCACTACGTCCGGGACCGTCAGTGGCAGATCTCAGCTGCTCCCCACTGTCGGTAGGTTTGGACCTGGGTGGCTGTCAGAGTTTCCGGTGCTTCTTCATTCAGGGCACACTAGCTTGAGCTTTGTGAAGATTCTCGTTAGTGAGTCTGGCTAGACGGGAGAAGCAGGAACTAAGCGACCCTATTTAATATGATTGTCGGTGGCAGGATCTTTTTGGAAGGAAGCCCGGAAAGGTTCAGCCAGCATTTGATATGACTGTAGCTGGTAGGATCTTATTTGGAAGGAAACCCTATAGTTTAAGTGTCCCCCAAACCCCAACCCCAAATCGAGAGCTTTGTAGCTCTATGTCATCGAGCAAGATATCTGTTTCACGTGTTTGAAGCTGAAATCGTGAAGACTGCGCAGGTCACACTTTATCAGAGGCGCTCCCGCCTCCTCATAATCTTGTAGCTGTTTGGTGATGTCCTCCTGACCCCCACGTGTTGTTAGTTGAGTTCGCAGAAGACGCTCTCTTCTTAGCAGGTTTGTATGTGTACTGGGGTGCTGCCCGTTGTCACCAGGCAGGGTTTATAGTTTCACGCAGCCAACCTACAGCCACATGCCGCGCCTGGATTGTCCGAGTTGCGGGCACCGAAATCGAAAGCTTGCGGTTGCGTGGAAGGACTGGCGATGGCTCCTTCGAGATCCGCCGCGAGCACGACAGTTGGTGGCCAACCTCATGACGGAGGCTTCACCCCTAGGGTTTCTAGGATTGTTCTGAGTTTTGGGTTGAGAGTCTAATTTAAGGGTGTAGGGTTTGGGGTCTCGTATACCCACCTTCAAACGTCATAGTCTTGTAATGAAATTGAGGCAGATGCTGCGGAAAAAGTAAGTCTAAGTAAGTCTTGGCAGTTTTAAATAATCCTTGTACTGTCGAGGTTCAGGGAAGCTCTTCGACAGCTGCGCTTGCAGTCGGAGGGTTTTTTTGTAGTGCAGGTCCCGTTTTGGGTTTGGGATCTGAATCTGATCATTTCGGGCCTGTATCAAGGGGTCCTGAATTTTCTGAAGCTCCCCTTCGAGTCGTCTTGTCCTGAACCGCCCCAGCAATAGGAGTGGTGTCCAGTGCAGCACCCTGCTTGGGTGAATTGCGAAATCGGAGTTTTGAGCCGAGGCCATGAAATCCCAGTCCAGGTATTCACCGCACCCCACGCCACAGGCTGCACGCTTCAGGCTTCTCTGAAATCTAGCACGCAAGGTGGAAGTTGCGATCAGAAGTTGAGGGCGTTGATTTGAGACAGCTTCTTTCCATATAAGCCGTCGATGGACGCTGCTGCCGGTGATGGCACGGGAAATCTGTGGTGCAAGCTCCACCGTGCGACTAGCAGTCAGAATTTTCAACCACCTCTGACATGTCGTGAGATGGCGAAGTGAATCCGGCCGTGTGACGTTCAAAATCTCGAAGTCGGCCGGAGTTTCTGAAAATAGGTGAGAAAGACCCTAGATAATACTGGGAATCTCTTGTACGGGACACATAAACCAGGTACTCCAAATTTCGGAAAATGCATCTCCCAAGCCTCCCCATTCGGTGGACCCGTCCAGCGCGTGCTTGTCAGGCATGGGAAGCGACGATGGCGTTTCTTCAGGATGCAGCATTGCTTGAAAAGAGATTGCCTGAATTGGCTTCCTTGTTATCATTATAGTTTAATTAACATACTCCAAAACCGCATTCGATTTATTAAGGCCCCTGTATTTAAGAGCTCATGTCGGCCATAACCTTCTAGCTCCGGGAAACCCTGAACCCAAGATCATGAGGTAGAGCCTCGGTGATTTGCTGGGTCCGGTGAGCGGTTTCTTGAGCATGTGCTTTTCTGTGGGACCAAGTTTGCTAACTTGCAGGTTCGTTAGTCTAGGCTTGGCTTCTGTTCTGTTTAGTATACGTGCCTGGTTCCCTGCACACTTCTTCCTCCTGCTAGGAGTTCCGGACGCGGATAGTTGAGGGATAAGAAACCTGGGATAAACCCAGACCCCAAGCCGCTGGTAGGGTGAAGGACCAGTCCTTGTGAAGCCAACATCCAAACTGTGCTCGGAAGAATCAAGAATCAAGAAGGTCAAGCTTCGGTCTGTGCAAGTGGGTTCTTAGGTTTTGGACACTCTCGGCCGCCATTTCAGGCAGAGTGGCGCAGCTTCAACTACCGTGAAGGCGTGTCCGAGGACTGTCCAAGCAGCTGGATCTCGAAGCTTCAGGCAACAAATTTGAAAGCTCATTCCCTTGGTATTCTCAGTTTCTGTTGCAAAATCTGTCTTTGCATTGGATGAAGTTCGGATGCGCCACGGTGTATTCTCTCCAACCACGAAACCCTCTGGGGATTTGGAGCGCGCCGTGAACGATTTGCAAAACACCACTACTAGCTGTAGTCCGAGCCATGACTCACAGCATCTTATGGGAGCCCCATAAGACCCTAGACTCTAATTTCTGCTCCACGAAGCACGCACTTTTTGCACAAGAACTGGCTTCTCCAGAATTCTCTTTTTGGGCTACCGAGCTGGCAGAGAGTCTCTTGATGCGCAAAACTGAAGACAAGCGACATACAGCTCATGCCTCCGCTCCCTGCAGGACGTGGTGCGCCAACACCTCAGTCGAAGCTTCCTCATTGATTGGGATAACACGAGCCAGAGATTCGGAGTGAAAGGTTCGCGGGCCCTCGAAACGAAAGCAGTAATCCGCGAAGCTTTTTAGGTCTGGACCCTCAAACCTCGAGCCTCAACTCAAAAAACCCTAAGCTGGACGACGACGGCGACTACTACCACGACTAGCACTTCTGCCAACAAGTCGCCCGAAAGACTTGCGAAGCGAAAGCCACAGTGTTCTGCAAAGAAACCAAATTCAGATGAACTGATACTGGTCAATGCGCGCACACACACACACACATGCTCGCATACATATATATATATATATACACACATGAGCAAGAAGCAAATACTCCGTATCACACAGTAGTCTTCGGGAGGCCTTCGGAAATCATGTGACATGAGTTCAATGCCAGATTGTGGAAAACGATAAGGCCAGATGTATGTATCGGGTATTCCGTATGATATGTAAAACGATATGCTGCACCCCCAAACTCATTCTGTTCTCTCTCTCTCTCTCTCCCTTTATGTCTCTCCCTGGCTCTCAGTGTCCATGCAACAGGAGGCCGAGGAAATCTTCAAGGAGTTAACGAAAATAAGATCAGGAGACATGGCCGGGAACGATACTAAAACGATATCTGAACGATAACCGAAGTTTGAACAAGCGTGCCATTTCTGAACAACTTCCCCACTCTTTAGGATCCCTCTCTACCAGGCCTCTACCAACAACCCTTAGCTGCGTAGTGAAGCTTTGCCTGCATGGAAGAGCGGTCATGTCCTCGCGTGCTCTTCCACACGAGGATGTTCTTCGGACCTGAGGCGTGAGTTTTCTGCTGTTTAAGGAATCGTTCTCGACATGACTCGACATGCCTGCCAATTTAATTACTTGCTCTATGATGCTATGATGCTTCTGCCGCTGATGTCCGTTTGATATGTAAAACGATATACTGCACCCCCAAAAACGATACTATCCAGACAAAGACCGCTTTCACGGGAACGAGTATTGCCCATCGCTCGTATGTGTGTGTAGAGTAGCACACGTGTGTGCGAAGTAA